ATCGTAAAAAGCCTGTTTGGATGCTGGGCAGGAGCCGCTGGGGCCCACTGGGCCCAGACCCTCCCGCCCCGCCCTCCGCCCTGCACACCCCAACCTCTGGCCCCAGACCATGAGCCCTGGGACCCCTACGTTGGCTTCACTCCTCAGCCTTGTCCTGCCTGTGGTCCACAAAGAAGCCAAGCGCCCTCCAAGGGACTGACAAGTGGAGGAACAGTCTCCGAGCAAGCCCTAAGGCACAGCTGGGATGCCATTCAGTGTCACGACGGCCAGGTCCCAGAGGATGCTCAGCCTCTGCTCCCTACACTGCCCTCGCTGCCCTCGCCAACCCCGAGTCCTGATGGCTTCCACCACGCTTCCTCTCCTCCAGAAATGAGCTACGTGGCGGGGTAAACCGAGTTCTGCTGGAGAGAGGAAGAGGGGCAGGAGAGGGCGTCGCTGTACCCAAGACCAGCCTCACTCACTCTCCCGCTCACGCGGCCACAGCCCAGGCGATGGGACGGGTCTCGGGTCAGAGCAGAGCTCACGCCTAACAGGGGTGTTCTCAAAGCAGCCGTGTCCAGGACCACTGAGCAGAGAGGACCCAGCAGGGAGCAGGCCGTCCCTCCGCGGGCCGCGGGCCCTGTCCACACTCAGGCATCTTCTCTACGGGGACCACATGCAGTTTCTTTTGGGAGACTCTGGGACTATGCGAGGAATAAACACACCTCATAACACCTATGAGGGGAAAAGTGAAAGGACAGGGACAGACTAGCCGGAGAAGGCAGCACGAAGACCTAACGTGTTCACACGTCTTTGAAGAGTTCATTCCGAGGGAAACATGGAGCAGGAGAGGTTTAATTAGAGAAGCACTTGAGAACGGCGTGTGTAGGTCTCTGGAGCAGGGGCCTGGGGCAGCCCTCGGAGAGCCTCGGCGGCCCCTGTTCCCGCGTCTGCAGGGAGGGTCCGGGCTCCGGAGTGGATGGGGGAGAGTCTAAGGTCGTATGTCTGATACACGTGACCTTGCAGAGTGACTGTCCACACCTCCCCATCCCCAGCTTGCAGCCCACCCGACGGGTGGCCATCCATAAACACCCAAGCTCACAGAGCAAGCTCGCCCCTGCCTGGCTCAGGATGCAGCCTCTGCCCAGCTACAGCTCTGCTTTACACTCACTCCTCCAGGAAGACGCCCGGTCCTGCAGTCTCTCTTGGCACTAATGACCTACAGACGCGGGCTTAAGAATGAACTTTGAGGGTTAAGGAAATTAAGTCCATCTAGGGCACCTGAAGATAGTGAGGTGGGGTCTAGGAATTCAGGAAAAGGGACCCTGGTATGGCTAAGATTGGTGAGGGTGACCTGTGGAGCTGAGGAGAACCACGGGCTCTGGAGGGACGGAAGGCTAGGGTGAAGGAAGACGGAGCGGGAGGAGAACGAGGAGAGAAAAGATGCAGTGGAAAGACACTGGAGCCGGAAGCCCCACCTGGCAGTCCAGGCTGGTGTTTCCAGGATGGAGCACCGGGCGCCACCCTGAGACCCAGAAGGGTGGCGGTGGCCTGTGGCAGGGCCCCCCC